GAGGATGAATAATTATATAGCTGGGAACAGTGAATGGAGCTGATAACAGTGCTAGTTTTATAAGAAATTGGACGGCTTTTTTTTTTTCTTGCTTTTTTTTGCAGGGTTGTTTGATTATTCCTTTTGAATTTTTTTTTTAAGTTTCAATTATACTGATATATACCTTTCTAAGGTACATATCACCAAAGATACTTAGAAATCAAAATGATCCAGAAGAAAATATTGGTAGACTAAGCATAAAATGATTATAAAGTATGAAATAATATTCTAAGTGGGCTAAATATAGCAACATCAAATTTATTTATTTTTGGAATTCTTAAGTGTAATAAAAATTGAAGATGTAGGTATACATCACTGTCTAACTTTATATATGTGTGTGTGTGTGTGTGTATACATAAACATATAAAATCTGTACTCGTCCATATATTCCTTGAAGATAGGCATCATGTCTCTCAATGTACTCTACAAACAAGCATCATGTCTCTCAATGTACTCTACAAACACTGAGCTCAGTGTATGTAAATACCCATGGAATGAAGAAAATACACATCTTAGTTACTTTAAAAGATAATGAAAACAGGGCTGGGTATGTATCTCAGTTATAGAACATTTGCCCGGTATGTGCAAGGCCCTAGGTGGATCTCTAGCATTGATTAAAAAAAAAGGCTAGTAAAATATAATTAAAATTGCCAGGTGCAATTGCAGTGGTGCCCGCCTGAAATCCCAGCAGCTCGGGAGGCTGAGACAGGAGAATCACGGGGTTCAAAGCCAGCCTCAGCATCTTAGCAAGACACTAAGCAACTCAGTGAAACCCTGTCTCTAAATAAAATACAAAATATGGTAGGGGATGTGGCTCAGTGGTTGAGTGCCCCTGAGTTAAATTTCCATCGTTTATTTATTTATTTATTTATTTATTTATTTATTTATTTGACAGTATGACAATCATATTTGTCAATTTGACAATCATTTTTTTCAAATATATACATATATGTGTGTGTGTATATATATATATATACACATATATGTATATATTTGACAATATGATTAGGCACTTTGGTAAAAGCATACAGAGTGAACTCTCTGCACATATTACTGACTTGGTAAAATCCTTTAGGAGGCTCTTTTTGAGAAATTGTTCTTAAACTTCAGTGATTTTTTTCTTTTAAAAATATATTGGTAGTTAATTATGTAAATAATTTATAGGAGAGGAATTGTACAGTTCTATCAAAAATGCCCAAAGGACATTTGACAATATTCACAAAGGATTAAATGTACTTTCCCAAACTTTATCAGGTTTTTAATAAAGACTACTTACAAAAAACCAAACAGCATATTAAAGGGTAGATCCTATGAATGTCATTTTAATTAAGTCTGAATTAAAGATCTGAAGCAAAGGTAAGGCACACTTTGTATCATCATCCAACATTGAAATATTTGCTAAGTGAAAAAAGAGCCCCTAAACTGAATAATTTGTGTAAATGTTGGAAATTAAAATAGTATAGAAAGTTCATGAGATCCTATTTAAATAACTATTTAATAAGAATTTGATCATGTGGCTGTATCTGATGGATATAAAAATCAGTAACTTTTCTCTGTATTATCAGAAGTACAAACATTCTTATAAAAATTTTTTTTATATATGTTTTGTTTTTGGGGGGTGGGGTACCAGGGATTGAACTCAGAGGCATTAAACCACTGAGCCACATGTCCAGCCCTATTTTGTATTATTTAGTGACAGGGTCTCACTGAGTTCGTTAGTGCATCACCATTGCTGAAGCTAGCTTTGAACTCGAGATCCTCCTGTCTCAGCCTCCGGTGTCAATGGGATTACAGGTATGTGCCACCACACCTGGCCATTCTTATAAACTTTTAACTGACAATAATAATGAAGTTATAAAAGACCAAGAAAAATATTTAACAGGAAACAACAAAGGCAAAAAAACACTTCAGTGATTTTTAAAAGCTAGAAATATGAAAGGTAATATAGATATTTATAACAAATTTGGAAAAACAAGTTTTAGTGTTTTAAGTGTATAAGGAAGTTGGCAGCACTGTTCATTTACAACTCTTTGCCTAAGACTGTATGTTGCAAGAATAACTGTTCATGTAAATGCTAAGGATTCATTGCTTGTTACTAAAGCAAGTGCTTTACCTCAAAGCATATTTTTTTCATCTAAAGCAATGTTTGATATCACTCTTATTTTGTTTGATTTTCATTGACAATATATACACTTTCTATTGTCCACTTATTCATTGATTCACAAATATTTGACTATCTACTATGTGCCAGGCAGGGAATACAACGCTGAACAAACAAAAATCACTGCACTTCTGCATGAGGTCCTGAGTTCAGTCCCCAGCATACAAAATCTATCAATTAGTTTATGGCCATACCACCCTGAACTTGCCTGATCTCATCTGACTTCAGAAGCTAAGAAGGGTCAGGCCTGATTAGTACTTGAATGGGAGACCAAAATCTATCAATCAGTCATTGAACTTGTGATAATTTTATTCTAGGAATGGATATGGATGATAATCAAGATATACCAGTAAAAGATACAATAAATTAGACAATGTTAAGCAAGTGCCAAAGAAAAAATAAAGCAGAAAAAGGTAATACAAAATATAAGAAAGATGTTGAATTGTAAATAGTGTGTCCAGAAAAGTCCTCACGGAATGATGATATTTGGATTAAGTTCTGAAGGAAGTGAGGGAGCTAGTCCTGTAGATAGCTGTGGGAAGAGCATCCCAGGCAGGAAAAATCCCATGTTATAAAACCTCCAAGTGAAACAGTGCCTGATATAGTTGAGGAGTATGAAGGAGAGGGCTGGGACGAGTACTGGAGGTGGAGATCAAAGAGATGACTGGAGGCTAGGTCACAAAGGACTTCAAAGGCTTTGAAGGGTTTTAAGCAGAGGAGTGACAGAATCTTACTTTTGACCAAAGTCCCTCTGGTCACTGGGGTTTGAGAATATAGAGTTGAAAAGGGTAAGGTGGGATAGGGAGATCATCTCAGAAGTTCTAACTAGAATCCAAGTCAGAGATGCTCCTGGTTTGAAGCAGAGTGGTAGCAAGTAGATGGATTCTGAATGTATTTTGGATATAAAATTCATGTTTTTGTCCCTGACAGAATAGGATTTGAGGTTATCCCATATTTGTGATATAATTAAATTTTTACTTTTCTTTCCTAAGTAATGAAAAAAAAAACTCTCACAAATTCTGTAATTCTAAGAGTATCACACTCATGATACTGAAATTCCTTTTGTTCCTGAGTTTGAAACACTTCATTTATTTTCAAATCCTACCCCAATCTTGAGGAAAGACAAAGAAAAAATGTGGTTCTCTGAATATCAACTACCAGCACTACCTTCTTAGCTCCTCATGACTGTAAGCTTAGCCAGGCTTTTCATTTCCCTTGATGTTCCTCAAAACCTGGCACAGAATCCTGCACACATTAATCTCAAAAAATGTTCATTGAATGGTACAGTTTTCATATTTTGTACAACTACTATAAAAGACTTTCTACCGGGCATGGTGGCGCATGCCTGCAATCCCTCTTGACTAACTCAGAAGGTTAGTCAAATTCCAGGTCAGCCTACTAAACTGAGTGAGATACTGTCTCAAAATAAAAATTTAAAAGGCTGAAGATGTAGTTCAGTTGTAGAACACCAATAAGTCCAATTCCTGGTACCACAAGAAAAGAAGATTAAATTTTCACATTCCTTAAAGTTAAAATGAATGCAGTAGTCCTCTTATCCACTTGTTTTACTTTCCATAGTTTGAGTTTCCTGTGGTCTACTGAAATCTGAAAACATTAAATGGAAAATTCTAGAAATCAATTCATGTTTTAAATCATGAAACATTCCTTTATCCAGCATATCCATGCTAAATACACTACCCACCCATTGGTAGCTGTTTTGGTTATCAGATCACCTTCTTGGTATTGCAGTGCTTGTGTTCATGTAACCCTTATTTAATTTATTTAAATAGTGATGTTTGCAATTTTGTTACATTGATCTAATTGTTCAATTAAATTACTAGTTCTTGATATTAATCTCTTACGTGCTCAATTTGTAAACTGTCTCCCATATGTATGTTTTGTGTGTGTGTGTGTGTGTGTGTGTGTGTGTGTGTGTACAGGAAAAGAACAGTATAAATAGAGTTTGGTGTTATCCATGGTTTCAGGTAACCAACCACTGGGGGTCTGGGAAAGTATCCCCTGTAGGTAAGAAAGGCCATTGTAATAATCTGAAGAGTAACATCCAGTCCCATCAATTGCACAATCACAAGTTAAAATTGGTATTGAGGACAAGTATGCTGGAGTACTGTGAACTGGATGTTTTTGAACCTCTTGCATCTTCATTCTTACCAGGTGTTTCAGTTTTCTCACGCCATGTAAATTAACTTGAAGGGCAGAGGAGATTGAATTTGCAATTCACAGGGCTGATTATCAGCTACCGTTATCTAGGAGTTATCATGGAGTTAAGCTTCCTTGAACTGTGAACTTCCTTGGGGAACAATCCGTCAAAACGCTTGCATCCTATTGGCCAGAGACCCGGTCGCAGGCATCGCTCGTCACCTCTCGCGACGCGGGCCTGCGCTGTGCGCACCGGGAGTTGTAGTTCCCTTTTCTCTCGCTCCCGAAAAGCCTGGCCTCTATCTCACCAGCGCCCCAAGCGGCGCGCAGGCTCGGTGAAGCGCAGTACGCGCGGACCGCGGGGAACGTTTCCTAGCAACTGGGGGAGGTGCGACGTCATGGTGGCGGGTTCCGACAGCCGCTGCCACTGTAGAACCGCCGAGTGCACCTTCGAGTCCTTGCGGTTGGAGGTAGCGCTACTCGCTGCCCTGTGTCCGCACGTTTTCGTCTTCCCATACAGTCTTATCCCGCTCCTGATCGCTGAGAACAACCTCTTGCGCGCCTCCGCCCCTGAGGCCCGGACCGGTGGAGGTCCCCGGCCTCGGTGGGACGATGCTGGAGTCCATTCGCGTGACGGGTGAGTGCAGGGCAGCGCCAACCCTGGGTGCTGGCGCGGTCGGCCACTGCCCGTCCAGGCACCGGAGGCACTGTGTGGCGCTTGTTGGGGTCCAGGCTGTCCGAGTGCGAGGTAACTGTAGGATGTGGGCTCGGCTCGCGGTGCAGCGACTGGAGCCCGCGCCCAGAACGGCGCGGGGCGTGCAGGAGGAGCTGGCGCTACACAAGTGGAGTGAAACCAGAAAACGGGCCCATTTCCTTTTGTCACTTATAATCAGTAAGCACAAACTGTGGAATCTAATGTAATAGACCAGTTACTAGTCCTACAGATGTACAACCTAAGTATTGTTTAATCTTATTCCATAGCATACTAATGTATAATTAGGCTTTATAATTTTCTAGAATGTTCAGAAAAATCAGAGCTAAGCAAAAGAATACATCGGTATATTTCAGTATACTGGGTTTATTTTTTGTGTATGCTTTTATTTTTAAACGCTGAGTACGTTTTGAGTCCATATTATTAATAAGCAAAAAGCTTGGGTGTTTAGGTTCCAGGCCTAAAAGTTTACTTGCCATTAATTATTTTTAAATAGCTATACAGATGAGCCATTTTAACGAGTTTCATAGCATTAAAATAATTTCTTAGGTCATTTCACTAGCATTTGATTCTGCAAGAAAACATTTCTGCAAGCAAGACAGGTCTCATGATGAATTACATAGTAAAGAGAAATACTAATCCCCAAACTGGTATCAAAATAAGGCCAGAATTTTTAACTTTAAGACATTGCAGTAGCTAATCATCTTTTTCTGTGAGTTTTTTAGTTGAAAAACTAAATTCCTTTCCAGTGAAAATATTTATGATCTTAATTTTATACTACTTAATTTGATATTGAGTGTTATAAAATACAGAGCTGATTTTGATGCAGTCATGATATTGCTGCAATTTATATCATTGTTATGTTGACAGGAAGCATAGAGAGTTACAGGAGCTAAGATATGAGGCTACTGAAATTTGCATTAGATTTTTTTAATGTGATTTGCTTTATGTAGAAAGTTACTTAAAAACATCCTCCGTTTATGTTGTGGAGCAAGGTTTTCAACCTCAGCACTATTGACATTGGACAAGAAAATTCTTTGTTGTAGAGGATTGTTCTCTCTCTCCTCCACAGTTGTAACAACCAAAAATGTGTCCACATATTACCACATGTTCCCTGAGGGGTAAAATTGAGAACTACTGCCTTGGAGGAAAATATAGATTCTATCACAATGAAAGTTATTCGGATTAGAAACTACATTGATTAAAATCATTTTCTCCAAAGCATAAACAATCATTATAGATAGAATATGATTAAAATAATGTTAGTATTATTAAAGACAGTGGCACACTCTTATAATTCCAACCACCACCAAAAAAAAAAAAAAAGGATTTTAAAAAAGGGCTGGGGATATTGCTTAGTGGTAAATAGCCTCTGGGTTCAATCTCTGGTACTATTAAATAAAAAGAAGGAAAAAACCTAAAAGCCCAAGAATAAGCTGTTAATAGAAAAATAAAATTATTATTATTAGAAAATTGGTATTCTAATCTGGTCTGCAATGCACAATGGATCTCCTGATACTTCAGTAAGTGAAGTTGGAAGTTTAAGGAGAGATCCTTTATAATATTGTAGAGCCACCCCTGTTAGCTTAATTCTCTGCACAATTTAAAAAGCAACTCTTGTGTGTTTCATACCCTGATATAGATAGTTTGGCAGGTAATTTCTATAGTGTAATAAAACTTAAAACGGCCATTTGAGAATGTGCAAGCCTGAAATTTATAGTCCCTTTCAAATTAACACACCGAGTCATTTTTCAAACTAGTTTCTGCATTTCTTCTCTAAAGTACTTGACTAATTAAAATGATTCTAGAGTCCTGCATTCAGCATTTCATTGAAATGGAAAACCTAATTTTAAAAAATCAGTCAGAAACTTCATAAAGATGTTTTAGCTAAAAAAAAAAAAAAAATGCCCTCCTCTTCCCTAGTCCCTCACTACTCATTGATATCTCAGATGTCCATGTTCTTCTAGTTAGCAGAACTTGATCTATTGTGATTATGAATACTGGTGGAAATGTATTTCCTTTATTCAGCTTTAAAATAGCAATAACTGTAGAACAAACTGGTTGTTTTATATTTTAGGTCTGAAACAATTTAGTGTTTTAGAAATTACTTTTATTTAATGTCTTATCCACTTCTGACACAGTCATGATTTAATATAATCTAAATATAACATCTTGGTGGAACTGCAACTAGAGGAATAAGACAAATAAGATGTATATACTATTTATGCTATTTGAAGATGGAATCAAATCTGAAAGGGTCTCTTTGCTTTCTCATATCCTTTTAATGAAGAGAATTTATTATACCAAAACCACTAAAATGTTGATTCTAAAATGTAAAATTAATTACTTTATAGTAATATTAAATTCACTTTGGAAATACAAATTTAATGAGTCCAAATATTTCCCCACTTAACTATTCCATGGAGTATTTCTATAGGAGCTGAAGATAATATTGAATATAATAACCATAATAATAGTGAACCAAGGCTTTTTACTATAATCCAGCACTGTTCTCACACTAAACATGTATTTTTTTTAAAGAGAGAGAGAGAGAGAGAGAATTTTTAATATTAATTTTTAGTTATTGGGGGACACAACATCTTTGTTTGTATGTGGTGCTGAGGATCGAACCCAGGCCGCACGCATGCCAGGCGAGCGCGCTACCGCTTGAGCCATATCCCCAACCCCAAAACATGTATTTTTTAAAGTCCTCACACCAATACTCTGAAGTATGTATTACTAGCACAAATAAATTAAGTAACTTTGTCAAGGTCATAGCCCCTCCTAATAAGCTGAGCCAAGATTTTAACCAGACAAACTTCATTCCAAAGACCATATTCTGAACCACTAGGAAAATCAGCACTGTTACAATGACTACACTGGTTTAAGCTACAAAATCCAGCGTTAGAATCTTATTTTATCATCAGTGTTATATTATTTGTTAATTTACTCAAGGTATTGAGTATCACCAGCAAATATGTAAATTACAATATTTGCTTGGAAAACTATATAAGTATATATATAAACTATATAAGTGTATATATATATATATTTTGTGTATATATATATGTTAGGTATATATATAAATATATACTTAAGTATATATTTATTGTTTTCAAAATGGAAGAGAAGGGCTGGAAATGAAGCTAGTGGTAGAACATATGCTTGAGGCACTGGGTTTGATCCTAGCACATTTGATTTTGAACAAAACCACAAACAAATCAAAATAAAAAAGGAGATATATAGCACACTCATTGAGTAACAAAATGCTGTCAAAAGCCATATAATACAAGATTATATGAATTTGTAATATTCAACTGACCTTATTTTGTGTAATATGACAAGTGATTGATGAGTCATCTGGAAATGAAGCCCTTTTGTAACAAAGGTGATTGTTTAAAAATACTGGAGATAAAATTTTCTCTATTGGTGTAGGGGATTGAGCCCAGGGATACTTTGCTACTGAGCTACATCCCCAGTCCTTTTTATTTTGATTTTGAGACGGGGTGTTACTAAGTTGCTTAGGGTCTCACTAAATTGCTGAAGCTGGCTTTGAACTTGCAATACTCCTGCCTTAGCCTCCCGAATCTCTGGGATCATAGGTATGTGCTACTGTACCTTGTGATAGAGGGCTTCTGAAGCCAGTGTTTAACCATACAGGGTGAATACACCTAGGCATGTATCTTCTTTTTGTTCTATAGTAGTCTCTACCCTCACCAATTGTTTCCCTTTCTTATACCTTTCTGGAATGATTTTTTTAATTCTTCCATTTTCAGGCAACCAAATTTTCTACCTTTTCTTTCCTCTTAAATGTTCTCTTCCCCTAGGCTACCTCTCTGGCCACTTTTTTATAAACAGGGTAATGAGTAAGCAAAAACAAACACAAATGTATGCTGTAATAAGAGTTTACAGTTTTATTGTTGGGGGAGGCCCTCACGCAACAAATGAGAAAATGCAGCCATGGCGATTACTTCAAGGGAGAGATAAAAGGTGCTATGAAAATCTGAAATGAAGAAGTCAAAGACTTCATGACCAAGTGCTATTTAAACTAAAGAGCTACTGTATCTATAGAGAGGATGGTAAGATGAGAGATTGACAATGTGAGAGGGGGCTGGAATGTAGAGATTAAGGAGGGATGTTATGTGAGATGAGACTGCAGAGGGATCTAGTAGCCTCATAGACCATAGGAGTTTTATCTTCATCCCAGATAGAAAGTCATGGGAGAATTTGCTTCTAGCACAGAGGATGTACAATGCTTGTTCTTAACCTCATCATCAAGGTATGAAATACTGTATTTATAGTATTTACAATATTTCTAGCTGTAAATACATAACACTATAATTTTTGACTCCAAAACAACAGTGTCACATTCTAAGATTGTTACTAATAGAATAACACTGAAGTGCTGCTTCTGTGGAATTTTTAGGAATCTGAGATACAGTAAAGTTTCTGAATTCCTGAGTGATATTAGCAGTGTATTTCTTCTATTTTTCCTTAGTAGCTGACTGGGTGCTATTGAATTATAGAGGTATTAAAGTCAATAGATTATCCGCTATAGTATAGGCAAGTTGAACAATAACTATGTTTTTAAAGGTACTGATTTTTAAAATACGTTTTAAAAAACGTATAGGGCTGGGGATGTAGCTTAGTAGAGAACTTGCCTTGCATGCCCGAGGCCCTTGGTTTGATCCCCAGCGCACACACACACACACAAAAAAGGTGTAATTTATATATACTAAATTTCACAAGTTTTAAATGTGCAGTCTAATGAATTTGTAGATGTGTAACCATTGCCCAGAACAAGATATAGAACCTTTCCAGCACCCAGTAGGCTCCTCCGTACCTCTTCCTAGTACCCCACCCTCAAAAAGTAACCACTATTCTGACTTCTAATATCACAAGTTAGTTCTGCTGTTTCTAAACTACATATAAATGAAATTGTACATTGGCATGGCTATCTTTATCCAATATTATCTGAGATTCACCCACTTTGCTGCTTGCTTGCAACAACACGTTTCATTACTATGTAATATTCTGTTGTATGCATGTATCACAAGTTATTCATTCTTTCTACTATTTTTGGGTTTTTTTGGGGTTTTTGTTGTTGTTGTTTTGATACTGGGGGTTGATCCTAGGGACACTTAACCATTGAGCCACATTTCATCCCTTTTTGTTTTTTG